ATATATATATTTATATATATATGTATACATATGTACCATCTAGATACATAATATATATATATATATATATATATATATATATGCGTGAACACATGCATAAACACCGGCTAATATCCTCCTGTGCGCATTTCACAACGCCATGATTATGAAGACTAATCCCTGATACTTCAACTTAACGTTCATACTCTTATCATGGAAAAATTTCAGATCCACACCATAAACCCTACACTCTAACCCTTTCTATCAAGCCTGGTACTCAATTTGCTGAGCGCTACGTATACCATACTGTCTACACCTCATATCCATAACAACAATGACAAGGCCCACTCACCATTTGATCCCCAAACACTAGACCCTAAACCCTGAATCCCTACTAGCAAACACCACATACCATTTTCCTGAGGGACCGTTGATTCCATACGTTCAGCAACGGCCCGACACTGCCGAAGAAGTCGGTGACCGTCACCCCCAACTGCAGGAACAGGCGCAGGGTTTCCTGGTACAACCCGCAGTGGTACCGAACATCTGCCAGGCACAGGGTGAGGGTGGGGTCTCCACGTTTCAGCTCAACGCACGCACGTGGCTCGAAGATAGCCACACACGCGCTGGTAATACTGGCATCCCAATGGTCGTTATTGATCGGAGGCTCTCCTGTACAAACGAAGACACGCACAGTTGAGTACCGAGTGAAACACTCACTCAGAGACGGCCTGCCATACGCTACACTTCAGATGTGGCGCGTGAGATATGCCTAAAGCCTAAAACCTAAACCCCTTACCGTAGTCAAATGCGTGCTGCCGATTGCCACATGCACACCTTCACCATTACGCAATACGCCCACTGCGGTGACAGTTTCTGTACAAAGTGATGCAACACAACACGGCATCTCCACAATGGGAGCACAGCAACTTAAGCAATCACGGACAAACAAAAGTTGAAGCCTCAATAAAAGACTATATTTAATCTAGTAGCCACCACAGGCATATCCTCGCGTAGACTCTTACCTCAGTCCCAAATCACATCTATAGATGTCTTGCGTATGTAATTGTATGTACGTATGTATGTATGTGTATGTACAGGTGTATGTATGTGTGTGTACTTGTGTATGTCTGTGTATGTACGTGTGTATGTATGTGTATGTACGTGATTATGTATGTGTATAGACGTGTGTATGTATGTGTATGTCCGTGTGTATGTATGTGTATGTACGTGTGCATGTATGTGTATGTACATGTGTATGTATGCGTACGTACGTGTGTATGTATATCGATACACCCATAGCTACACTTGAGAAACGTTAATCTCGGCGTACACGCCAACGCATACACATGCGACCTACATGTCACCACCATGCCACACACACCCTTGCACATGCTTGCGCACTAGAACTCCGTTCACACACCCTTCAGAAACATTCCACAACACAAACCATCCACAAACACTCCCCAACACACACCATCCACAAACACTCCACAACACACTCCATTCACACACCCTCCCCGATACTAATACCCAAACACTCCACAACCCACGGCAACACATACTCGTGCCCAGAGTGTGGAAGAAGTACGTGGCGTTTTTCTTGAGGTCCTGTGTGGCCACAGCGCCTGTGGCCCGCAGGTGTGTCAGGCGAATGCCTCTGCCTGCCTGTGCTGCACTGTCTGCTACCACGGCACACCCGTCCTTGAGCACTTTGTTGAGATCATGGCGTGGCCCGGTGGTGGGGGTGTTTATACATTTGAAGTGGGGTCTTTTGGAGGCCTTGTCGGAGGCTTTGGGGGGGTCGGTTGGTGCGCCCGAGTTGGGTTTAGAGCCTCTGCTACGATCAATGAGTTGCAACAGCTAAAATGCGTGAACTCAAAATATGTAGAACATATTTGTGTAGCAACGTAAACGTACTGCCAATGGCCACTGCACAAAATAGATGGCCCAAACAAAGTGGTCTGGACAGCCCCACGTGGATGGCTGTGAGGGCAGCTATGACACCCATGACCACAAGCCACCCCAACGAAAAAAATCCCCTAGTTTACATGGCATATGCTGAGCTAGAACCATGGGGGCATTGTAGTAACAGCGTAGCAATAGTAGCGTAGCATGCGGAGTGTATTGGTGTATTGTAGCCTACGGATGCGTGGGTGGGTATTGTAGTCGCAGTACGGCTTGTTCGGTCACGACCAGAGATGCGACATGGCATAGCTTTCAATACAGCACACGACATACAATAACGGTCGCAGAAGAACGCATGTTTTTTATATGGTTTTAAACCCTAAACCCTAAAACCCCACGGGGAATCAATACAATGCACAGCAATGTGTGTGTTGTAAGACAAACACATATGCACATGCGTAGGGTGATACCGTGATACAGACCCACACGACTGACCTGGAAGTGTTCTGAGGGTCTTTGTGATTGTGCGCTTCTGTGGTGCTGGACGCTGGCTGCAATTTGGAGGCAATGCAAAGGGCATGTTAGATACCTTATGACCGTGCTACAGGTAAACCATAAACCCTAAAACCCAAACTCTGAAGCCCAGTCATGAGAACTGTTTGTGCAACTCATAACTGGCAACGTACAGTCGATATGCCATGGAGATATGCCAAGGGATGAGAGGCGTGAGAGCGCATATACCACCATTTCAAATGTGTCCTTATTCCTCGACTAAAAGTTTCGTCGTGGAAATGCCGTCAAACTAAACCAAACTAAAGTAAAACCAAACTTAAGTTAAACCAAACTAAAGTTAAACAAAACTAAAGATAAATTAAACTAAAAATAAAACTAAACTGAAGTTAAACCAAACTAAAGTTATAACCAAAACTAAAGTTAAACCAAATTGGAAAAGACCAAACTAAAGTTAAACCAACTAAAAATAAATCAAACTAAAGTTAACCCAAGCTGTAGTTGCTCCCAAGGCTTGGCAGGTGTCGCGGTGATGGGACCAACCGAACCGTGTGTGGATGGTGATGATAACACTATAGAATGCTACCCGTGCGAAAATATATATGTGTGTGAACATATGTATATTTGTGAGGTGTACATATGGGTATATCTGTATATAATTATGTACTTAGTAGGTCTATTGCTAGCACAAGTGCTTCGCGCAATGCGACTTGGCTTTGCATATACAGATACCCTCGCAGGAGATAGCACCCTCATTTATTTTATAGCCCACACCTTTTGCACACAAAAGCCTACACCAACTCCTCACATAGCCTGAGCTACCTACACATCCCACACACAATACACACGCACACACACACACACGCACTGTCAGGCAATCCATTGCACAGAGACGGATAACATACCCTTTGCACTGGCGACACCAGGTCTAAGGCCAAGGCCAGTCCACCCATGCACCCCAGCACCAAGTCTTTACGGTACAAACGGGACATCACTTGGGACAGCAACGGCAGGTGAGTGGGGGCTGTTGGGGTGGGTATGGGCTGGGAGAGAGAAAAGGAGGTACAGGTCCTGTTTAGGTCAATCTCGCTCGGATTTAGGGATTTAGGGTTTTGGGGCTATAGGGTTCGGGGTTCAGAGGGACATACACGAATGTTCGTGAATTATAGGCCGGTCAAACGTCGGCTAGTTTGTTGGGGCAAACGCACTACATTGTGGCGTTCACTCGAGTAGGTAGCGCCGTTGCCCATAAAAGGGAGTAGCAATGCGACTACTACATACACGCACCAAAGTACGTCACTACATGCGTCAGGAGTGCTAGCAGTGGGATATAAGTTTCACTTCAATGTGATATATCACACCAAGCCCTAAACCCTGAACCTTAAACAACACTATAATGGGGCTATTTGATGTTTGAACTGCCGTACGACAATCTCCTGCATTTCGCATGCATGCCCAAGAAAGCTTACGACCTTAGCACATACACGGTCAAGCATACTTAAGACCTTACCTTTACATTGGTCTCGTGTTTATGGGGAGAGTTCTCCACATCCATAGCCAGCTGTAGCAGAAACAGTTCGAAATCATCGCGCATCTCAGTCCTCTGCTCTTCAGTGGACTCTTGAACGTCCTTAGCGCGTGTGTCTACATGCAAATACAATGGGTCAGATATAATTAGACCATGTAACTTATAATGTTATATGATATCTAATGTAACTTACATTGTTATATGATGTCTACATAATAATACAATGGAACAGATATGGTTAAACGATGTGACTTACATTGTTATATGATGTCTACATAATAATACAATGAGACAGATATGGTTAAACCATGTGACTTACATTGTTATATGATGTCTACATAATAATACAATGAGACAGATATGGTTAAACCTTGTAACTGACCCTAAACCCTAAACACACACACAGCACACTCTCACCCATACACACATGCACACACACACACCATCGTCGTCGTCCATCTCGTCGTCGCTGTCGCCACTGACTCTGCCTGCCAGATTGCAGATGAACTTCAGATAGTTGTTTGCACTGTGTGGCGCCTGGCTATAAATAGATTGGGCGGTGCTCCGGTGTGTATTCTCTACACTATCATTGGCTGATGAGTGCTGGCGGGACAGCCCAGACGAATCACGTGGTGCTAATGGATGTCCGTCTGTCCGTAAGAGTAGTATGGGTGTGCGGGTGAGTGGGAGCGTGTGTGTGCGTGTACACAGCTTTCTTTGCGTAGTGTACACCTGGATGCTGATCAGTATCCATAAGAACACGTGTCCCACTGAATGCGATACCTACATGTTACGTGCGCACATGAGCCTCTGTCTTCTAAAACCCTAAAACCCTAAAACATCTGATGTGCACATCACACACGTAAGGGCAGGCCTACATCACATTAAAGTGCGTCTGGGCGAATCGGATGCAATGCCGTGCATGCAGCTGTGACATTTGCGATAGATCTACTGAGCAAGGGGGTTTTACGTGTGTGTCTGCAGCTGTAATACGTGCGAGTGCGCTACCGGGCAATTGGGCGTTGAATGTGATCCAATGGCTACAGACATTTGATAAAATAGATCTGACGTCCTAGATATACCTTACGCCATTGATCTGACGTCCTAGATATACCTGACGTCATAGATACTGAGTGTTGTGCGAGGTGTGTCAGGGAATCTCTACCCGGACGATCACAAGAATATATAAAACAATACACAACGCAAACGCACTGTGCTCCACACATACAACAACTAAGCCCATTCACTCACACACGCACAACGTACAACAGCAAACACGCACAAGTGCAGGTAGCAACCATTACCACACACACACACATATGCGCACATAGAGCTATGCGACACTCTCCTATTTAAACACATGCATAGCCAAGAGCCCTACATCTGTCCCCACGCATGTATGGTCAAACGCAGTATTTATACGTGCACTCTTTCCCTGTACATAGAACAGTGCACATGTGTAGTCAAACGCAGCATATATACTTATACTCTCTCCCCGTGTATACAACTGTGGTGTCTACGTGCACCATCCTCAGCCACGCTCTCCCACACTCGCCCACACCTGGGTGCCGTCGTTTGACGCCCTTGTCCTCAGGCGATGAGGTGTTCGCAAACGCCATGACAGACTCCCACAAGCCACACCCAGGAGACAGCCCCACATTTGCCAGAGCACACAGCACACTCAGCAGCTGTGGTTGGGTCAGATAAGCTGGCGCCTTCTTATCGGCTAGGTCGGCTGTACACACCTCGAGCTGAGTCACGGGACGGGGAAAGAGGAATGGGCAAAGGGTAGGTGAGACAGAGCGTAAGTTAAATAAGAGAGTGAAGGATAGGGATTAGAAGGCGCAGATGGACGAAGTGTAGGTAAAAAAAAGCGTTGAGTAGGTAAGAGAGTGTGAGGGGTAGGTGAGAGAGAGCGTAAGTTAAATAAGAGAGTGAAGGATAGGGATTAGAAGGCGCAGGTGGACGAAGTGTAGGTAAACAAGAGCGTTGAGTAGGTAAGAGTGTGTGAATGGTAGGTGAGAGAGAGTGCAGGTGAACGAAACTCCCTAAGTTAAGGGTGTGTACATTAGTACTAGCATAGAAACAGGCACTTGAGATTTACGTTTTCACACGTTAAACTATCGACCATCAGACGAGAACGGGCGTTGAGCGCTGTGTATGCAGATGTTTTAGGGTTTTAGGGTTTTTAGGGTTTCGGGTGTATGCTGATGGCGGTGGCAGAGGTTCTGTGAGGGGTGTGGTATATGAGGTGCTGCAAATGGCAGAGGCTGTGTAGGATCATGGTAGGTATGCAAGTAGAGCAGCCACACAATCATGAATGTTATCATGTTATCGATAGAAATATATTAAAGACATGCAAACAATAAGAATATCTACAGCGTAAATGCCGGACTTGATACCTACAACCTTTCGGAGTCAACCAAGCAACCTTTGAGTGTGCTGTGGTCTCTATACGGCAGGCTCAACACGCACTGATGCGTGGATACTATTTAACCCACGAAAAAATGTTACTATACAAGCGTAAATTGAGCACAGTGCATGTACTGATTCATAAGGTTCATATAATACTATATAGGGTTTAGGGGTTAAATGCATAGCACTCGCCAGGTCCTCAATGACTCACCTCTTTGATGAGGGCGTCGGCGCATTCTGATTGGTCGCTGAGTTCGTATCCCACCTTAAACATCTCCTGCGCTTCTTTGTTAACTTTGTCCGCCAGCACTACAAATAAATAAATAAATAATCAATGAATAAATAAATAATATACAAATAAATAAATAAATAAATAAATAAATAAATATATAAATAAATAAATAAATAAAAAAAAATAATAAATAATAAATAATAAATAATAATAAAATAATTAGATCATGAACCACTACACAGGAACGTTCATCATTGGCAGTCAACAAAGGTCGTTATCAATATCTGGCTTTCAGGGTTCTAGGGTTTAGCGATTTTACAAACCCTAAACCTCATAAGTAGGTATCTATGCCTCAAGATAAGACATACTACGAATAACACGTGGCTGGGTGAATTGCACGACACTCACAAACAACTCGGACTTAGGAAACCCTAAAACCCTCAACCCTAAAATCGGACTGTGGGCTGATCCCAAGGATACACTGTATCGCAATTCGCCAAAAGGTTTCCCCAAAGAATACACAGAGCCATTTCAATTCGGCGTGTGAGATATGAACCTTGTCTCCATCGACTGCACTGCCTCAACAAGTTAGATATGATCACTCCAAGTACAGCCAGATAGCCCCTGTACACACACGCACAAGGCATAGCCATTGTACACACATGCACAAGGCCTATAAAGCGCATTTAAATGCTTCCTCAGACACGAGCCCACTTTTAATGGCGCTCTCACCTACTCACTGCCTCGCGTGGTTCAGGTGTTTGCGGTTGATACCGCTATGACTACCAACTGAGTATTAGCTGAGACTAATCCACAGAGCCCCCCCACAACTAGTCACCTGCATATAACACGCACGCATGCATACCTACATAAATATACACAAATATTTACATGTACATGCATATATACATACACATACATAAAAATATACAAACATAATTACATACATACATAGATACATACAAACATACATACATACATACATATATACACACACACATACACATACATACATACACATATACAGATATGCATACATACATATATACACACATATACATAGATACATACACACATACATACATACATACATACATAGACACATACATACTTACATACATACATGCATACATAGATACATAGATACATAGATACATTGATACATA